CTCGATTATATGATTAGAAATTCACTGATAAACTTCATTTTGTCGAGTTATAGTTCGAATTTAAATATCAACATCAAAAGAAAGTCAACTCAAAGCAATCCAGAAAAAAAGTGCTACCTGTTTACTCCATGGAGTATTGCATCAAATAAAAGTAAAGTTATTTTTTCGTAATTCCTCTTTTTTTTTCCTTCTTCTTTCTTGTTATATACAAACTTTTTGTTCTAATTCCTATTGTCACTCCACTTCCTTTGGGCTGTGCTAGACAAGCAAAACCGAAGAGTCAAAATTTTGGTGGCAGCAGATGAAAGGAGAGAATTCTAATGAAGGGAAACAAACTGTGATTGTGCGTGCGTGTGTGAAAGTAAAAGGAAAAAAGGTGTGCTACTGCTAGCTTTAGAATATTATTAGAGAAAGGAAGAGTAGTGCATGGATTAAAGATAGGTCCGACAAGTAAACAAGGATATCGATGTTATGCCCTTCCATTGCTAGGCAAACACATTGGGACAAAGTGCCATTTTCCTTCATTATCATATCAGTAAAAAAAAAAAGTTACTTTCTTTGTGGACCCATATAGAAGGTGGAAAAAAAAAAAGCCTGCTACATATATCAAACCAGCAAACAACATTCTATTATTCTATCCATTGATACTGATGAATCAGTTTGTATGCATGCCAAGTTGTTAAAAGAACCGGAATGTATGTTTCCGGGGAGCTTCGATTTCGATGGAAATGATATACACAATCAAATATTATATATTCGTTTGCGATATAGATTAATTTTTCCGTGTATGAATTCAAACCCTGCGTGCGTTGTCGATCATAACGTGGTCAATCTCAGTTGATTTGGTGCAAACACAAACCTTAAGTGCACGATTAACTGATCCGTCAACGATTGTGTTGACATTAATTAACACAATTATTTATTTATAAATAGACAATTGTACATGGAAATCAATAAAATCTGTTACCAGGAGATATTACAAAGTGTGCTAGCTTTGCCTTTGGAGGAAACAACAACAAATATAAAATATAACTCAAACTAAAGTGTAAATTAAACATTAATAACATTAAACTAATTTGATGATGATAATAATTTTCTTTAAATTTTGTCGATCCACTTTGACATTCGTAATCATCAATTTGAGTCTTAACGATGACTTGTAATATCTCCTGACATATGTCGAACCCACTAATATTTTGTTATTTTTCTGGATCAACTGAAGTGAAATTACAGGCTTTTTTTTTTCCTGGACTCTTCCTAGAATTTTCACATGTAGAACAAGAGTTCCCTAATAAAGGTAAAAACTGTCAGTTTCAGTTTCTAGTTTGTCGATTGTGTGTTCCTTTGTTGTGACAAGCACACCCCTGAAAGCTAAAACCCCAGTTGCTTGCCAACCCATGTGAGTTGAATAATGGGCTCTAATTTTATTCTGTGGGGGAAGGTTTTCACGTTGAATCATGTAGTTTCCTGTGTTGGTATTAAGGTTATATTAATCACATCACATATATATCTAATACAAAGTCCTTGATGTAATCATATACATCCTCATGATGAGCTATATATATATCAAAGGTTCAAAAAGGCATTATGCTGGAGGCAAATATTTGAGTCTTGTTTAGTATCTACTAGAGCAAAATAATCAAATGATTAATACTTACTTAAAAGTTAACAAAAAGAAAAAAAATAGTTCATAAGAAAAGCAAGATAGAAGCTAAACAAGATTCTAAGTTGTCACAAACGGGTAAGCAAATATAAAATGCACAAATGTTGGGATAAATAAGATGAAATTAACAAGGAAAATTGGCATTCGATGAGAGGTAGATGGGTTGAAGGGAACGAAAGAGAATAGCATAGTAGCAACGAGGAGAAGAGCAGAGGATTTACTGTCGCGTTATGTATGCCTTGCTCGCGTTAAATATTTTGACGAGACAATTTAGCATTGCCTAGCACCTCAACGCACCTAAAAATAAGCGAAATGAGGACTTCTTGAACCCTATTATATCTATTGCTATATCTCGATAGAATTGAAACTCTCCCATTTAGTATGGATCCACTTTTTGTCATGTACTAGTCAACCCATGCATCATCTTAACTATTTTTGTATTGGTCAACTTGTTCCATCTCTCAATCACAGGTTCCCGTTCCCCAGGTGCAAATAAAATAAGCCAAGAACCAAATTAAACTGATCCACAACTTGTGTTGATCGGTCGATCGATCAAGTGGCAGAAAACCCTCCACCAATGATAGTACCGTATTTCCCCTACATACATGAAGGAAACATACCTCCTTCGCTTCGTGTGAGAAAGTGATTAAGATCCATGCATGCATAAATGTTTTCTGACAATTCGAGTTATCAGAATGAGTTGGCTTGTGATATAGTATCAAAATTGGTTTTTTTTAAATCACAGCATATTCAATATTTACCGTTGTATTAAAGCACATGGTATGAGACGTCTGCAAACTTTAACACCTCGAGTTATTGTGACTCTAGTTGTATTAAAGCACATGGATCTGTAAGTAAGTGGTTAAGACTTATACATGAATCTCTCTCAACACCTCGAGTTATTGTGACTCTAGGGAGGATGGAGAGTGAAACAAGGTGGGACCCCAGATCCATGCTCACTTAGGCGAGGAAAAAAAGAGTATAATAGGCAATTGAGAATGAAATTTATGATGTGTGTAATAGAGAATGATTGACCTTACCAATGTTCGATGTATGATGTACAAATCATATTCAGACATATTGATTATTTTGTGACAAGCTACGTACCAATGGCAATGGTGCCTATGATCCACTTACGAATCAATTACGTACTTATTCAATACCAACGACAAAAATTCACCAAGTAATAGCTAATTTGTAAAAAAAAAAAAAAACTTCTTTTCCAACCATGCACAAAGGAAGCTAAGAGTGTAACATACTAACAGGATGGTTGCTTGAGAGTAAAATGGATATATTAGGTATAATAGTTAATTGAGAATGAAAAATAAGGCGCGTCTAATTGAGAATGGTTGATCGAAAGGTTTCGTAAGCACATGATATTCATATTTGTGTGAACTTCAAGCTCATTCGTCAAGTATGTGTTGGTAAATGGTGTAAAATCCATTATTGAAATTCTCCCCAACTCGAATTATGATACTAAACATTTTTTTCCACAAAAGAACACCATTCAACAGCGAATGACTAACGAAATCCTGAATAATTGTTTGGCACACACAAAGAGCGGTATTCTTGATAGTTTTGACTAGTACCAACACATTTTAGCTTACCAAGATTTCCAAACATAATATTATATCGTGGATGATTAATTAAAAAGCTAATAAAAACTATTTTTAACATGAATTTTCCTTCTTCAAAATGAATACACCTTATACTAATTCACGGTTACGCCTATGTTGGGACCAATTAGTTTACGACCCGCTAGCCAGCTTAGCTGTCATTTCCCATGCAATGCATGCATATAATCCATATTAAAAATAATCCTATGGGATTACGATTGAAGAGGTGAATGGCTTCTGTACTTTGGTTCCAATTCCCAGCATATATATATATGACCAGACAGAATCAGTTTTGGTTACATGAAGAAAGTCCAGATTCATTGGCGTTCAATGGAAACTCAAACTAGCAGCAGCTAGGCTACGTAATGTTGGAATATGCGTAAACTCTCAACTCCTTGGGCTCGTAAACCATGCAAAAAGCTTGTCGCCAGTCGCCTTCCTGGAAATTGCCTGCTCGATACTCCATCCCAAATCCGTATACATACATACGTACCATCCCATTCAACGGGTCAAACCAAGTTCCCAAGCAAAACTATTATGTTTTCGTGAAATGCAAAAATGAGGATTGTACAATTTGTATACCCGGAATAGTCAGCGGTATAGTAGTTTATCTTGAAATCGTTGTTTAAGTACGTACTATTTCATACTGCTAAAAGTCATCTCCCCGCGATTTAAACTCCGGTAAATTAAAGGTTTTCACGGCCGGACCGTCGAACTTCGTTTTGTAGCTCACTGTAGGCTCGGGAAACAAAGTGAAAATGTGTACGAACATGATATCCAACAGCAAGAAGAAGGAAAAAAAGGTTGAATAGACGAACTCCCCAAACATTTGGAGATCTCAGTAGTGGCCCAGTATTTCGATGGATCATTTTTTCGAACAAAAAGAAGATTATACGTCTAAATAATGATTTCGATTGTTAAGATCATTACAATTTTCGGAGATCCCGAGTTTCGGTCAAATAAAAACGGTTCATTTCTATGTATATCATATTTACAGTACGGTTTTACATACACCGATAAAAATCAATAAGTTAGATGAATATTTTCTGATAGTGGATTAGTATTATTCCAACCGTGTATAGTCCATTAACATCAAAACAAACATAACGTTACATTAGACTACATATTTAGCAAACAATTAATTAATTTTATACGCTCCATTATTAATAATATTGTCCAGCAGAAAGAACCCAACAATCATCTCCATGGCGGCCCCTTCATACACAGAAAAAAAAGAAAAGGCATCGTCTACCAAGTAAAACATTTCCCTTTCTCTCTTTACATCCAAATCGACATTTGAATATTCATCCCAAAACGATAAAAAAACATTTTAACACTTTGAATATCATATTGAACTAGCTACGTCTAAGCATCGTTGTGTCATTGACACGAAGTACACAACAATCATCGGTATAAAAAAATTTCTCATGTTCACGGTGTAAGAATAATCGTCTGATCATAAACTAAATATTAGGGCGTTTCTATAGTATACTCTACATATCGTACATGCAATTTTGTTGTCGTCATTTCAATTATCTATTGATTTCTTCCAAAACAATCTCAATCGTCATTAATTATGTGCCCACATACGATTTGATGATGTGTTAAGTATCTCGAAAACTTTACTCGGTACATTGAAATATCATCTAATGACGACTAAAAATTGCATGAATTTTTTAAAATTTTAATCTATATAAATAACTATCAATTAACGAAAATTTATAATTTGATGATTAACATCTAATGTTAGAATCTAATATATGTCATGTTACATCCAAATGCACTCATACCTACTACGCTTAAGCAACTCAGCCGAATTAATCACTAAAAATTAAACGCGAAAAAACAAAAGTTCCCCTTGATAATTATCTTTCAAAATAATTCCCTTCCTAATTCCCACCAAAAAGAAAATTCCAAGCCTACGCGCGTAAAAACAAAGAGCCAACAAAAGGACAAAAACGAACTAAGCAGTCAGGAAACCCCATCCCACGCGCTGGCACTGCACGTGGGAATAATATGGATGAATCGCGGTAGTGATCGCAATTATCATTCTCTGTAGCCCACCCTCTGCCCTTCTGTTTCCCTGTCCCTCACTCGCCCCCTCGCTGCTCTATTTCTAATCCCCAATTTCCCCTTCCTTCCCCTTCCCCTGCAAAATTCCCCCATCTTCAAAATCCCCCTTTCCTTTTCCTCCGATCTCCCTCCCCATCTTTCTCCGACCACCGTCTCTCATCTCCGAACCAACCCTCTTCCGCCAATCACATGGCCTGGCTGGTCAGAGTGAAGTCCGCGATCTCCAACTCCGCCACCACCATCTTACCTCGATCGGCGAAAAAACAGAGCGTCGCCGTCCTGGCCTTCGAGGTCGCCGGAGTAATGACCAAGGTGCTCCACCTCTGGCAATCCTTAACCGACAAGAACATAATCCGACTCAAGAACGACTGCATCGCCCTAGAGGGCGTCCGCAAGATCGTCTCCAACGACGAGTCCTTCCTCCTTGGCCTCGCCTGCGCCGAATTGGCGGAGAACCTCCGCCTCGTCGCCAAATCCGTCGCCCGGCTCAGCCACCGCTGCGCGAGCACCAACCTCCGCTGCTTCCACCTCGCCTTCGACCGGTTCGCCGACTCGGGTCACGACCCGAACGGGTGGGTCCTGGGCTGGAAGGAAATGGAATTGAAGAGCAACAAGAAGATGGACCGGTACGTCACCGTCACGGCCACGCTCCACAAGGAGATGGAGGAGCTGTCGGCGCTGGAGACCGCGCTGAGGAAGGCCGTCGCTGCTTCGGGTGCCGGCGACGAGACGACGACGAAGGAGCAGAAGATCGCGGATCTGCGGCAGAAGGTGTTCTGGCAGAGGCAGGAGGTGAAATCGCTCAAGGAGAGATCACTGTGGAACCGGAGCTTCGACGGCGTCGTTTCGATGCTCGCGAGATCGACTTTCACCGTCCTCGCGAGGATCAAGCTGGTTTTCGGGATCGGATCTCAGGGGTCGCTCCCTACTTACTTGCCGAGGAGCCTCTCTGCCTCTGCGACCGTGTACCCGACCGAGAACCAGACCGGTTCGACCTGTTCCACCTACGTCTCCGGCCCGCTGGCGAAGAGCGTGAAGAACGGGTCGTCCGGCGCCGCCGACGGGTTCTTCAAATCGAATTCCCAGCTCCTGAAGCCGCCGACGACCACGCTGGGAGCGGCGGCGCTAGCCCTGCACTACGCCAATCTAATCATAGTGATGGAGAAGATGATCAAATCGCCCCAGTTGGTCGGCGTCGACGCGCGCGACGATCTGTACTCGATGCTGCCCAACAGCGTGAGATCGGCGCTCCGGGGGAGGTTGAAAGGGGTCGGGTTCACGGCGACCGACCCGGGCCTCGCCGGCGAGTGGCGGGACGCGCTGGGTCGGGTCCTGGGCTGGCTGGCGCCGTTGGCGCACAACATGATCAAGTGGCAGAGCGAGAGGAGCTTCGAGCAGCAGAATTCGATCCCGAAAACGAACGTGATGCTGCTGCAGACCCTGTATTTCGCGAACAAGGAGAAGACGGAGGCCGCCATCACCGAGCTTCTGGTGGGTCTGAACTACATCTGGAGGTTCGAGAGGGAGATGACGGCGAAAGCTTTGTTCGAGTGTGGGAACTTCAGTGGGTTGCTAATGAAGCCTCAATGTAGTAGTAATCCAATTGCTGGTTCGGGATAGGATAATCGAGAAGGAGACTGGAGGGTTCAAATCAAAACCGTCCTCTGGGTTTCCTTTTTCTTCTTTTGTGTACCCATTTTTCATCTCTTTTCTTTGAGATTCTTCTGATGGATTGGGTTTTGATCTGCCTCAGATTGAATGTTTTGAGGGTTCTTTTCTTGTTATTAGATGTAAATGAAAGTATGAATATGATAAATGATAATGGTGATTTGGGAGATTAATTAATCTTGAGTATGATAATTAGATGGAGTTTGCTTTGATGATCATGTGAACATATTCCTCATTTGAGAACTAAATTTTTTTTCTGTTGGGTGTTGTCATTATTGGTATGTGCAACTATACATACTAGCCCTACAAACTCGATCAAGATTCTTGCTATGATTCATTTCATATAATGGGCTATTAAGGGTAGAAAGCAAAACTTAAATAATAGTATGTTTGACCCACACTTAAGTTTCAACTATCATCATCTTGCTCCACAAATAGACTAAAGATCGTCTATGAAGGGTAGAAAGCAAAACTTAAATAATAATATGTTTGACCCACACTTAAGTTTCAACTATCATCATCTTGCTCCACAAATAGACTAAAGATTGTCGACATTTTGAATTTGGAGCTCGTTTGTAACCTTTAATTTTCTTTTGATTTGAGACATTATGTATTCGATCATTTAGGTATTAAGATTATTCATATAGAAAGAATAAGTGGATTTTTAGAATTTGTAGTTTTAAAAACATAAAACAATGCACATAATGCACACACTAAATGAACTATAAATGCTAAATATCACAAAAAAATTAAGATTCATTTCCACGTATAAAGAATACGTTATATATTCTCAATTTCTCATTGCATGCATCAGTGTTTAAATCAAGTAAAAAAATTGGATTTGAATTTCTGTAATTATTTTTCGTTATCTAATAACAATAATAATTAGTGAAAAATAATTATTAAAAAAATGAAACGAAAAAATTTAAATAAATTCAAAATCGAAATTTTTTATTTCGGGTTCGCTGACATGACAAGTGACCTGACACTTGACTAACGATCAATGGAGTTAACCGTCCAATTTTACGATCAAAACCCGCGTCCGGCCAAGCAAATAAGTTTAGTGCATAATTCAAGCCAGGGGAGTAATTTCAGAAACCACGAACCAAAGTAGAAAGTTTGAATATAATTCAGACCAAAATAAGGTATTAACCAATTTATTTATGGTTAGTGATAATTTCACCCATAAACCAGTGTACTTATGTAAGTCTTTTATGTTATAACACATGAACGATTTTGTCAACAATTAACCAATGGTTCTAAAACAATTAACCCGTTGAACCATCAACCCATAATTTTTTTCCCGGTAAACCAGTAATTTTTCGATCCACATCCGATACGATTATGAAAAGATTGAAAATAATAAAATATAAATAACCCCACACAAAATTTCTTCCAAAATTCGTACTTTTTCGCGATAATCGTAATTTAACCAAGAAGATAAATCGATCGATCATACAAGAGTTCAATCCAAAATGATAATGATTAGTGGTTAGTACACATGACCATACATAAAATGAAAATGCACTTAGACAAACACCTACTCAGAATGTGTATTATTGTATAAAAGCCATTGGCTAACTTACATAGAGAAGCGGCTATGTAGAGAAAGGATCCATCAACTTTTAATGGGGCCTTCCCACCAAGAAAATAAGATTTGTGATCACGCACTTAGTTTAATCAAAACGTCACGTAATGGAATCTTGTCAATGCACACTCGTTTGTGCTGCTGCTACTACTACTACTAGTTGTTGCTTAGCTTTAAATTTGTCCTCTCAATGATTAAAGGCATACACTAGAAACTCTTCTCCACCCATAACACTATTCTGCAGACACCTAGGGGTCCATCGACCTTATCCAGAGAACAACACAAACTGCAATCACCCAAAGCTCCAACCGTGAAAACAATGGTGGCAGATAAGATCTGCCCACCCAAGCCTCGACAGGCCGTATATGAGTGCACATTCACACCACCACCAGGCACGGCCGAAACCGCTAAACAAAGAGAAAGCGAAATCCAAACGAGGGGTTCGTCGAATCAGTAATCGTGTACGATAACACATGCTACACACATTAGAGAACATGCAAGATGATAGTTACGATTTCGCGTTGCGCAACGTCTTTCTTTTCGTTGGAATGTATCATCTGCTCCCCTCGAAGGGACCCTCGACATACATGTATGAAGTCTACAAGTGGCGAGTGGCCTATCAACCACCATCCAAAAAACAACACAGCTCACAGGATTTGATTCATGATCGTCTACCTTATTATATGTTCTTAATTATTTAGTTTTAAGAACCCCACAAAAGGAAGAAGAAAATAGGAGGCTCCTTCTGGGGCAGAGATGGCTATGATGCCTAGATTGGAGCTTTCCTGAGTGCTCTTTTTTGATACATCACACGTGTGGCCGCCAGCAGTTTGATGCCCTAGCTAGCAGGGCAATAATTGGGGGCCATTGCTGCGGATTGGAACAAGAACAGAAGCTCGAAAGTAACCAACAAAAAATGGCGAAATTGAGTTGATAAAACAAGACTTTCATTATAAGTGAAGAGAACCCATCTTAGTATATGTGAGTTTGTGCTCTGAAACATTAGAGGACCAGATACAGATGGGAAGCTGAAGAATGGTTTTTACAGAGATGATGAAACTATATGCACAGCCTAACCCTAATGAAGCATCTATCTAATGCAAGCACATACAATGGAGCTCTCTCTCCCTCTCTATAGTGTACATAAACAGAAGTGAGAACAATAGTGTACAGAAGCCTCCCCTCTTCCCCAGAAGTTCACCTGATGCCGCGGCTCACTCTGTCATCAGCTTTTCGGCCTCGAGCCTTCAAGGGAAAGAACCAGTACAAACAGCGCTTCCTTGGAAGGATGAATGCAGGACTCCCGGGGATCGGTAAACAATGGCGGATTCAAACACTACAGTTCTAACCCCTAATTATGTACACACCAAAGCTACAGACTTGAAGCAGGAATAGGAAAAGGAAAGAAAAAACAGTAAGAAACCCTAATCACAGACGCAGGATGACACCTAAATGCACACACGATTGATTCTTTAAATCCCTTCTAACCTCAATTCGATTCTTTTGACCCTAAGGATTTTGATCTACTATTACCCTATATTCATCAACTTACCTGTGATACCGTCGCCGGGGAAACTCTAGACCCGATTCTCCAGCTTATCGGAATCGACGGCAGGGTTCTGCTGCTCAAGAATCCGGCGCCCGAAACCCTTATAGTCGAAGGAGCAGCGATGCTCCTCAGGGTACCGGTGCTTACTACAGAACAGTTTCTTGCACCGGCACTTGAATCCCAGCAACCCTACCCGCCTTCTGCAACTACCGCAGTTCTTATCCTCCTTCTTTACCGTCTTGGAGGTAGTATCGGTGGCGGAACCGAATCCAAACGTGAAAGTGGACGGATCAAAAGAACGGCCGCGGGTTGGGAAGAAGCCGCTATCTACGCTAGAGAAAAAGCTAGAACCTGATGACGAAGAAGACGAGGTGGTTCGGAACGATTTACCGCTAAAGAACGAGTTGTTCTCAGTACCGGCGGCGGCGGCGGCGGCGGTTGTGGCGGTGGTCTCCCTGCGGTCGAATCCGGAGAAGGGAACGACCTTCGCGTCGCGAGGGAAATAGAAGGGACGCTTCGTGCCGACTGGCTTCTCGATCGTGGATTCCGCTGCCGTCGCTGGCTCGTCATCGTCGAGATCTCGTTTCTTGGTTTGTTGGTCGCAGTTAGGGCAGAGGTGGCCTTTCTCCGGCGATCCGAACAGCGCGCATATGCACGCCGACGACGGCTCCATATCTCCTTGCGGCTCCATATCTCTCGCTTCTCTTCTCTGTTGTCTATCGAATCGCCGATCGCCTGAACGTAATTCTGATTTCTTGGATTGGTTTCTTGATCGAAATTCTTCGATTCGATTTGGGGGAAATTGAATTTTGAACTTAGAGCGATGCATATAAAGTGGATGGTTCGTCTGAATAGGCAATAAACCGCCTTTCTCCGTCGGCCACACGTTTGCTGATTCGCATGTCGGTGTCCGGGCCCAAAACAACAATGGACTGTGTTTGGGCCGGACCGGATGAATCTTGGTGGGCTTTTGTGCCAGTACTGATTTACGTGTCCCAATTGGATGCCATCATAACGTTGACTCACCAACTTCACAAAAAGAGCAGGTAAGCTGAAACTCAGGACCAGAAAGATGGTTCAGTTAAACAAGCACACACTTAAGTAAATTTTGGAAGACTGCCTAACCCACTAATGGCGACTCTATAAAACTGGACGAAGAAACACAGTTGCAGAACACAATGAACTGAGCTGCCATTACATCACGAAAAATGGAATCGAAAGAGGGAATAGAGACTTCGAGGAGAAGGCATATCAGGGAGCCACCTTCAGTTCCATTTCTCTGGGAAGATAGGCCAGGGATAGCCAAGAAGGGTTGGAAGCCTGAGGTTGCTCCTCCTGTGGTCACGCCGCTTCCATCATTGCCGCCAGTCAAGCTCATCGCTTCAGTTCCCTTTAAATGGGAAGAAAGGCCCGGGACTCCACTGTCCCGTTTCTCGCAGCCATCATCACTCGACGACGAGGGGAAACTTGCTTCGCAAGTAAAGGTGCTTCCTTTACCACCAGCTCTGATGTACTCAGAAGCAGATACTAAGAATGTTGATGATGATGACTGGTACCTGAGATCACCGTCATCTCTGTTTGGGAATTGCCTGATGTCATCAGCGGCAGTTTCTGCTGCTGTTCCGGTCATCGACAGTGCTTTCTCGATGGATGAGCAGTGGGAAACGCCGGCATCGCCAGCTTATGAAAGTGACAGCAGTACCAGTAGTTATGCAACTGGGAGGTCGAGCCTTGTGGGGTCTTCGTTCTTGGAATGCTTGTTTCCGTTATATAAAGCAGCTTCTGGTTCTCATGAGGAGGAGACAGATCTGAAGAATGGTTCTTCCACTCCTCCGCTGGAGCTCACCGGCAGAGATATAGTAGATCAAGGAAGTAGCGATTGTGCGCTAGTAGTAAGGAAGCCGCCAACACTTGGAGAACTGATAATGATGAGCAGGAGGAGGAGCGTTCAGAGGAAAGCAAATCAAATGAGGCTACAGAATCCATCAATGGTAAGTAAATCTCCCAGCTTGCTTCCGTTTCCACTATCATTACCAATTCTCTTCCAACCGCAAGCAAATATTAAGATACATTAATCTAGTGTAGGGATTTGAAAGGAACTAGTGCACTTGCCTGACATAACAATGTTGCAGGAACTCATGAAGGGGCAACCTTTCAAATGCTGCGTCTTTGGAACCGGCATTAAGATGATAGATAGGCTGCAGAAGAAGATGCACCATACAAGACTGGCCCTCCTGTAGTTCTGGTTTCTTGCTCCTAAGAAGCCTGCATTCAACTATCTGTGTGAACTTTCTAAGCAATCCCACTGTTGTGCTGTCAGTTAAGTTTCAGTTTCAATATTTCATACTGCTAGTGAATCCTCCAATTCCTGTAAAAGCATGCAAAGAAGATACAACTTTCAGGAGTAGGCTACTTCCTGAACCAAGTCACAAGCCCTGCTATTCCAAGTAGAAGTTTGTTGTAAACTTTGATCTGTTATTCCCTTGGATGATTCTACGATGATCTTGAAGGTTGGGTCCCATAAAGAGCAAAAAACGCAAAAAAGATTTGTATTAGGCAAAATTGATCCTATTTCAATGACCAGATTTACACATTTCAGCAACTTTCCCAATCCGCTCCATGACAAGAGGAACATCTTCTTCAGCTAAAGCTGTAAAACAACACCTGAACCATCCAGGTTCTATGCAATGGCAGGCTGAACCAGGAGTTACATTGACTTTACCAACATTCAACAGCTTATCCCATAATTCAAGTTCCCCCTTCTCACTATACAAAGCTATTAGAACACTCATATCAGCCCAGCAGTACAACCCACCACTGCTCTTTGCACAACGGATTCCTAACTGGTCAAGACCACCAACAAATAGGTCATACATCCGCCGAATCCTCTTTCTATTGGTTTCGATATATTCCTCGATAAACTTGGCATCCGAAAGCATTGAGATCAAGAGCCTCTGAGTTGGAGCAGAAATGGAAGAGAACCTAGTAAGCCTTTTTGCAGCAGCCAGGACATTTTCATTGTAGGAATAGACAACCCCAACCCTGAATCCTGGAAGAGACAGGTCCTTTGACAGGCCATATATAATATGAACCCTGCTCTTATCAAATTCTTCTCCTTCAATAATTTCTGCCACGCTCACAAATTCCTCTGCTGTTCCATAGAGAGACCCAGCAAATATTTCATCCGATATAATGTGAATATTCTTCTCCTGTGCAAAGTCCAGTAACTCATAGAGCGTCTCTCGGGACAGTATATTGCCAACAGGGTTTGAAGGGTTGGAAAATAAGATTCCTCGAACTTTCAGACCCCGTTTCCTTGCCTGGTTGTAAGCTTGATCGAGAGCAGTGACGGTCAACATGAAGTTATCTGTGCTGCGGCAGTGGACTGGTATTAACTCCACTCCTGTTCTAAATTTGATATCCCTGTCAAATCTGCGTAAAGATATGGATAAACGTTGATTACATCAGCTCTCGTATCTACGCTAAAAGAAAACTACCTAACAGTATGTAGAATAATTACCCAGGATAGTACGGGGTGGGGATTAGAAATGCATTTCCATGGTCTGCCAAGCAGAAGGTTAGTATTTCGATGGCTGGAGTTGCACCAGCCATCAATACCATTTGTGATGGATTAAATGAAACCCCTTTCCCCATTACCCGAGACATGAAATCTGCCATAGCCTGCAATACCCAGAAAGGAAGGGGGAAATAAAGAAAGTAAGTTAATGAATAGAACTATAGAAGCCTCCATATGAACATAATTCGTCTCTAGGTCGATTCCATTTAGTCTCTCATTCACCAAAATCCTCCAAACACAGTTCTTATCAGCTAGCTATCAAGCAAATGGCAGAGAAACACCAACTTCTGTCTGCATGGGAGTTTTCACATTGAACTACCACTACCTTACTGCACTAGAGTATAACATTCTCACAACAATGGCCTGATAAGTCCTATTTGGGTACTAACTTAATAGAACTTATCTAAGACGAGAAATGAAAGCTGGAAATGTTCAAATCGTACTAAATCGCTAGCTTAGAGCTGTTAGTATACCACTTTCAGCTCCATCAACCCATCAAATGGTTGGTAAGTGGCCATGCCATTGATACTCAATTCAGCACCATCGCCACCCATCAGCGAGTCCATCAAATTCTCCTTCATCCATCTCTCAATCAAATCGAAACACAACTGCAACCACCACCAGGAAAAAAAAAAGTCAATGGAAGAAAAAAACAACAAAAGAAAAAATTGCATGAACTAGAATTGGGGAATCGTAATACACACCGTATTCTCGGACAATCCAAGCTGAATAATCCCCTCCGGATTATCCACCCGATGAAACGGATCCCCGGCGACCTTATCCAACCCGACATAGTACGGCGAGTCATTGGGTTTGGCAATCGCCATCCCGCGAGAAGACAACCGGACGGGCACAATCGACCCGCGCCCTAGCAAATTGGAGCGCGATGAGGTCCGCGCCAAATCCCCGAGGTTCGGGGACGAAGAGGACGGGGACGGAGGGTTCGAGGAGGACGCCGGCGGCTTGGGCGAGCGGTGGCGCTTGAGGTACAGCTGGAGGAAGTAGAAGAGAGCGCAAGGGATGAGGGAACCCAGGATGAGCCCTCCCCTGCCCTGGACGACGCCCTGGAGAGGGACGACGAGTCTCATTCCGTTGCCGGCGGCGGCGCGGGGCTTCGGTGACGGCGGTTCTGGTTCGGACGATGGGGACTCGGTCATGGGACCTCGGGGCGGGTCTCGACTGACCCGCTGCGGGGAAGGCGATCGGAGGGATGGCGTCAATGGGAAGTAAGTGGAAAGTGTGAGAGTGGAAGAGCAGAAGAGAAGAGGAAAGGGGAGTGAGAGAGAGCGTAGCCGTTCGTTGGAAGTAAAGAGGGTGAGAGGGAAAGAAAAGATTTCGGCTTTGGGGTTGGGGGCGGGGGTTTGGTTTTTGGTGGTTTAGAATTTTTTGTAGGGAGCCTCCGAGCCTGTGTTTCGGCTGAGTTTACAAAGTTATACAGCAGATATATTCTCCTGCTATTAGCGATGGTAATTTGGACTCTTGCGGTTGCGAGTATTACTCAACCTGATCCGAGAAAGAATTATGGCTTAGAACATAGGAATAGTGCTCCGGTTTTTAGGAGTCGTAGGAAAACCCTAACAATCGGGGAAGCTAGGTTTTTTCTCACCTGAGATGACGGCAAAGGCACCGACGATGGCGTCAACGGGGAAATGAAAACCCCATGACATTGTTGGAGGGGTTTGACAACCCGTTGAAGCCTCCTCCTCCCTAATGGAAAGTCTGCAACGGAATTGACACAGGCCAAAAAACGAGCCCGAGAGCTGGACTTTACGTCTGATACCGTCGAAGTGGAAGATATCACGGAAGCTGGGATGGAGACTGAGCAGTCGGAATCAACGTAACAAGAAGGTTGGACAGGAGGAGCGAGATGCCTTTTCAGTGAGGTCATTCAGCAGGATAAGTGGTACATTGCGGAATCGGATACGGAGGACGTGGAACAAAGGGAAAGAGAGGAAGATGATGTAGTAGAAGACGGAATCAATGACCCAAAGTGTCCCACGATCTGCTTCTCTGCGGTCGAAAAGATTCGTTTGCGGCAAGAGTGGCGATCAGCCTTAGTTGTGAAGGGTTTAGGGCAGAAAGTCCCGCACGTACCACTTGTGAAAAGACTCAATTTCCAGTGGGGACTGTCACGACCTTACTCTCGATCATGCGGCCCTAGCTCTCAATTTCGTTAGAGCGCTAGGCAGTCTTCTCTCAAACTCACAAAGAAGCAAGAACAAGACAAAGGAAATGGGAGAACTCTCTAGTGTGTATTACTCTAAAATATGATGGAATGAGTACAAATGAGGGAGATGACTCCTTATATAGGTCTCTCCACATACAAGGCATCAATGCCCCTCGTCAATACACCCATAAAGTCCCCCCATAATGCACTCTATAAATGTCACCCATTATGTGACTCATAAGTGCACCATTAAGCTCTCTTAAGGTGGAGAATCCTAGGAGCATCTCTATGCTACTAGTCTTTCATACATGCCACATGTGCAGTCGCCATGTTGTCACCTTGTTGGCGCCATGTCATCTGACACATGTGACATCCTCCCCCACCTATGCTCGTGACGCCCTCGTCGCGTCCTCTTGATGGAAAGCTTCGATTAAGTCCTTGTTCTTCCAAAGCGTGAGCTCTTTCTCCCAAGTTGCTTCACTCTCTGGAAGGTTGCGCCACTTCACCAAATATTCCACGAAACTTGGATGTATGCCGCGACGAGGAATGAAACGACACGCCATGACCTCTTCGACTTCATGGTCGTGTGTCTTGGTGATGAGTGTTGGTGCGCGATGCGACTCTCTTTGCTACTCGTCCTCCTTGTCTTCGTGGAAAGCCTTGAGTTGGCTCACATGAAAGGCCGGATGGATCTCCAAGTGCGACGACACCTCCACCTTGTATGCCACCTTGCCAATCCTCTTGACAATGGGGAATGACCCTTCATAGCGGCGAAGCAGTCCCTTGTGCACGTTCTTGAGATGCTTGAAGCGGTGAGGGTAGAACTTCACCATCACCATGTCTCCCTCTTCAAACTCCAAGTGCCGCCTCTTCTTGTCCACCCATTTCTTCATCTTCTTACTAGCGCGGGCTAAGTAAGACTTGACCATCTCCATCTTCTCGTGCCAGCCTTTAGCAAACTTGTAGGCTACCAGACTGTTGCCTTTTTACCCCGTTGCCACTGCCGTAGGTGTCAAAGGTTGCTGCCCCGTCGCCAACTCGAATGAGCTTGTGTTGGTCGACTCGCTGCGGTGCAAGTTGTAGGAGAATTGTGTTGTATCCATCAATTTCACCCAATCTCGCTGGTTTGCACTCACGTAGTGTCGCAAGTACACCTCCAACAAGGCATTCACCCGCTCCGTCTTTTCGTCGTTTTAAGAATGAAATACCGTCGAGAAGTTCAAGTCTGAGCCAATGATCTTGAACAACTCCCGCCAAAATCGGCCTGTGAAGCGCCCATCTCTGTCGCTCACGATGTTGCTAGGAATGCCCCAATACTTGACCACGTTCTTGAAGAATAGGCGCGCCACATCCTCTGCTGTCATGTCTTTTGGCCCAGGGATGAACACTCCATGCTTCGAGAACCTATCCACCACAACCATGATGCAACCACATCCGTCGACTTTGGGAAGTCCGATGATGAAGTCCATGCTTACACTCTCCCATGGTCGTTGGGGTGTGGGCAAGGGCTCTAGCAAGCCTGTCGGGCTTCTCTGCTCCATCTTGTCTTGTTGGCACACAAGACAAGTCTTCACATACATCTACATGTCGTCTCTCATACGTAGTCAGAAGTATGCTTCCTCGATGAGTGCTTGCGTTCTCTCGATGTCGGGATGGCCCGCCCACTTGGAATCATGGCACTCCTTCATGATCTCCTTTCTCAAGTTGGTCCATCTTGGCACGAACACACGCTCTCCCTTGGTCATGATGAGCCCATCCTTCATCCAAA